AATATTTGTGATTAGATAGGGAGTTGTGCACATAACTGTACCTTTTTTTTTTTTTTTTTGAGACAAGGTCTCTGTTGTCCATGATCACAATTCACTACAGCTTCAAACTCAGGCTCAAGTGGTCTTCCCTCTTCAGTCTCTTGAGTAGCTAGGACTACAGATGTGTACTATCGTTCCTAGCTAATTAAAAAATTGTAGAAACCAGACTCGGTGGCTCAGTCTGTAATCCCGCGCTTTGGGAGGCCAAGGTGAGTGAATTCCCTGAGTCCATGGGTTCGAGACCCGCCTGGGCAACTTGGAGAGACCTTATCTCTACAATAAATCAAAAATTAGCCGGGCATGGTAGTGCGCGCCTGTACTTCCAGCTACTTGGAAGGCTGAGGCGGAAGGATCGCCGGAGCCCAGCAGGTCAAGGCTGTGGTGGCTGGGAGCGGCCACTGCACTCCAGTCTGGGCGACAGAGTGAGACTCCCACTCAAAAAAAATTATAGAAAGCCAGGCATGGTGGCTTATGCTTGTAATCCCAACACTTTGGGAGGCCGAGGTTAGAGGATAGCTTGAGGCCAGGAGAACAAAGGGAGACCTTGTCTCCACAAAAATTAAAAAATTAGGTAGGTTGACTGGGCATGGTGGGTCAGCCTGTAATCCCAGCACTTTGGGAGGCCACGGCGAGAGGATTGCCTGAGCCCGGGGGTTCAAGACCAGCCTGGGCAACTTGGTGAGATCACGTCTCTACCAAAAATCACAAAAACTAGCTGGGCATGATGGCATGCATCTATAGTTCCAGCTATTTGGAAGGCTGAGGTAGAAGGATCGCCTCAGCCCAGCAGGCCAAGACTGTGGTGGCCGTGAGCGTGCCACTGCATTCCAGTCTGGGCGACAAGAGTGAGACCCCAACTCAAAAAACAAAAAAAAAAATTAGCTAGGCATGGTGGCACATGTCTGTAGTCCCACCTACTTGGGAGGCTGAGACTGGAGGATTATTTAAACCCAGGAGTTCAAGGCTACAGTGAGCCATGATTGTGCCACTGTACTCCAGCCTGGGCAACAGAGCGATATCCTCACTCCATTAAGAACAAAAACAGAAAACTTTGTAGAAACAAGGTCTCTCTATGTTGCCCAGGTTGGTCTTGAACTCCTGGCCTCAAGCAATTCTCCTGCCTCAGTCTGCCAAAGTACTGGGATTATAGTCGCAAGCTACCTTGCCTGGCCATAACTGTGCCTTTTCGTTACCATTACTGCATTGTATCTTTGTGTCTACTTGTGTCCAACAGTGAGCTTACATAGTCAGATTATGACAGGCCTAAGTTGTAATAAAAAATTACTAATGGGGTGGGGGTTTATGGTCTCATTTCTCTGAGTCAGCAATCCTTTTTTTTCTTCATATATAGATATAGAGAAAGATAGACGTGTTTTTTTGTTGTTTGTTTTTGAGTTGGGGTCTCACTTTGTCACCAGGCTTGAGTGGTATAATCATGGCTCCCCCCAGCCTCAACGGTTCAGGTGATCCTTCTGCCTCAGCTTCCCAAGTAACTGGGACTATAGGCACATGTCACCATACATGGTGTTGAACTTCGGTCTCAAGCAATCCTCCTGCCTTGGCCTCCCAAAGTGCTGGAACTACAGGCATGTGCTACTGTACCCATCCTAGACATGGTGTTTGTTAATTAGCAAATTATTCCGTGGAAAGCAATTATCAGTAAAGTTCAATTTATAAATTACTACTAGGCCAGGTGTGGTGGCTCAAGCCTATAATCCCAGGACTTTGGGAGGCCAAGGTGAGAGAATTGCCTGAGCTCAGGGGTTTGAGATCAGCCTGGGCAACTTGGTGAGACCTCTTCTTTACAATAAATCAAAAAAGAAGCTGGGCATGGTAGCCCACGCCTGTAGTTCCAGCTACTCGGAAAACTGAAGTGGAAGGATCGCCTGTGCAGCCGAGTGAGACTCAAAAAATAAAAAAAAATAATCACTACTTATATATTTCCTGCATATTTGAAATATTATAAAATTTGAAGTCACTTCTCCTATATATTTAAATTAGATTTTGCCATACTGTCTTGCATTGGTTAATGACAGGGATACATTCTGGGAAATTCACTATTAGTTGATTTTGTGGTCTTGCAATCATCATAAGCTTTTGTCATACTACACAGCTAGATATATGGTATGACCTACTGCTCCTGGACTACAAACCTGTACAACTTGTTACTATACTGAATACCATAGGCAGTTGCAATACAGTGGTATTTGTGTATACCAAAAATAAATATAGGAAATACAGTAAAAATATGATATTATAATCATATGGGACTACCATTGTATTTGTGTCCATTGTTGACTACATTTGTATATTGAAGATGTATTTACTGTTCCTTTTGATATGATGTTTCATATTTTAACTCACATCTTCAAAAGACAGTGAAGTTTTCTTTACCCGTGTTATTTCAGTTCATGTGACTTTTGAGACTAGAATCAAATAAATTGAAAAAGTAAAACACTGTAGTTATATAATACAAACTTCATTTTCTTGTTTTTGACTTAAAATAGGCAAATGTATACCATGCTAGCACAGCAGATGGAGAGAGCAGAGCAATCAAAATTTATAAAACTTCTATTTTGGTGTTCAAAGATCGGGATAAGTATGTAAGTGGAGAATTCAGGTGAGCACAGATTTTTCACCCCAATGGATTTAATTTTTCTAAAACATGAAAGCAGAATAAAGCAATGGTTTAAATAACAATTTTTTTTTTCTTTTTCAAGATTTCGTCATGGCTATTGTAAAGGAAACCCTAGAAAAATGGTGAAAACTTGGGCAGAAAAAGAAATGAGGAACTTAATCAGGTGACCGTGTGTGTGTGTGTGTGTGTGTGTGTGTGTGTGTGCGTGCTGTGTGGCATTGTAAAGGAAACCCTAGAAAAATGGTGAAAACTTGGGCAGAAAAAGACATGAGGAACTTAATCAGGTGACTGTCTGGGGGTATGTGTGTGTGTGTGTGTGTGTGTGTGTGTGTGTGTGTGTGTGTGTGTGTGTGCTGTGCCCTGCATGTCAGCCTCAGCTCTTTCTACTTACAGATCCAGCATGATTCTGCCCAAGTGTAGGGACTTGTTAGGGCCTTCAGTTCTAATGATATTAGATCTGCAGAGGTAAGCAGAAGAAGAAAATTCTAGACAAATAAGAACTACGTGTTCTCTATTGTAAGAATCCATTACAGAAGAATGCTGCCAAGATTCATAGTTATTCAGCAAGCTGGATCATTTGGAGGGCTTTGTAGAGACCGTGTGAAAACATTTAGAATTTATGCTGAGAATGATAAGAAACTGTATAGGATGTTAAGCAGGAAAGTGATACAAGCAGTTGCTGATAATGATGTGTCACTTTTTCACAGATCTGGAATTTTAGACAGATCTTAAACCCTAAACTCTTTGTTTATCGTAGTTTATCCTTTTCTTATTTCAGTCTGATTTTGGACATGTTTGTATATCCTTTGCACTAATGCCTTTTAATCAGGTAAAGGCCTCTTGACTAATTGAGATTAAGTTTCCCTCCAGAATTAATTTTTCTCTTTTTCAATGCCTTTAGCTTTTTATGTGCTATACACAGGTAATACATCGGATATTTTGGTATTAAACAAGTACTACTTGCTTTGAAAGTCTTACTGAAATCTTCTTGCACTCAACTAACTATTAGATTTAGGTTCAACTCTTTTATTAAACATTTTTCGGACTGATGAACTCAAAAGATAATTATAAACACAGCTCTATTTCATCAGTGCTAAGATGCACACTTTTTTTCACTTTAACATCTCTGAAATTAGATTGGGTATTACATGCTGTGGGATGTAATAGTTTAATTGCCTGTGTTTTGAGTTCTAGGTAACAAGTACATAATGGTGCTACTTAAAATTATTGGTGTCATAGAGTTTCTGAAATATGATAATACAACTGAGAGGTCTTGGTGCTAGCTATTTCCTGATGGCAATATTAGTCTTCTGGCCTGTAGCTGTTGTAATTTATTTAAGTGCATCTTCAACTTTTCAGTTGTCCTATTATCTGTTATGTCATAGGCTAAACACAGCAGAGATACCATGTCCAGAACCAATAATGCTGAGAAGTCATGTTCTTGTCATGGGATTCATCGGTAAAGATGACATGTAAGTACATGAGAGGCCTAGTAATTGCAGTCTCAGAACTGGATTTGTAAGTGCTTTGAATTATCCACCATACGACTACTTCCCATTTGAGTATCTTTTTTAATGACTCTTTCCACTGTATTAGTGCATAAGTGTTGTTGATTCATTCTACCTTTTTAAGTCTCAAAATGTTTCAGAATAACAGCAAGGTAACCCTGTGTCTGAGGGGCATTTTATATGGCATATTGGGAATGCACCTGTTTGTTGGCAGTTTCCTGGAATGGTTGATCTGTAGTGAGATAGATTGCCTCCCATACGTGATTGCCAGCTCACATGATGAGTTCTAGAGCAGGACGTGTAACATTGTAGTATGAATGAGAAAACTTGTTCTTGGTTATTTTATTTTAGTTCACTTTATTTTTATTCAAGGCCTGCACCACTGTTGAAAAATGTCCAGTTGTCAGAATCCAAGGCTCGGGAGCTGTATCTGCAGGTCATTCAGTACATGAGAAGAATGTATCAGGATGCCAGGCTCGTCCATGCAGATCTCAGTGAATTTAACATGCTGTGAGTATGTTTGTCTCTTATTTACTGCCCATAAGTTATTTCATGTCTTTTTTTTTTTTTAATTTGAGTAGGAATCTCACTGTCACCCAGACTGGAGTGCAGTGGCTCAGTCATAGTGTATCACAGCCTTAAACTCCTGGACTCAGGCGATCCTTCTGCCTCAGGCTCCCTGAGTAGATAGGACTACAGGAACACACCACCACACCTGGTTAATTTTTTTAAAATTTTTTGTAAAGATGAGGCCTAGGCCGGTCTCAAGCAATCCTCCCACCTTGGCCCCCTGAAGTGCTGGGATTACAGGTGTGAGCCACCACAATTTTTTGTATTTTTTTGTAGTTTTATAGTTATCCCAAATGGTATAAGATGAAGTCCCTGCCTTCAGTGACCTTGGTCACAGAATTGGCCACTCTGATCATTAACAGAATTAATGGACTTTGGAAATTTGCTCAGTTTTCATTTGTTAGTCAAGGTGGCCTCTTCTTATCCACCCTAGTCATTTTATGAATTACTTTCCTTGCTCTTAAGAACACGATTTTTACAAAGAACACGATTTTAACATCTCGGATCTACAAGGAACTCAAACATGCTGAAAAAAAAACAAACAACCCCATTATAAAATGGGCAAAAGATATGAACAGACACTTCTCAAAGGAAGACATCTGAGCTGCCAACAGACACATGAAAAAATTTTCAACCTCACTAATCATCAGGGATATGCAAATCAAAACCATGCTGAGATACCACCTAACTCCAGTCAGAATGGCAATTATCAATAACTCAAAAAATAACAGTTGATGGAGAGGGTGTGGCGAAAAGGGAACACTTCTACACTGTTGGTGGGAGCGCAAACTAGTACAACCTCTGTGGAAAACAGTATGGCGATTCCTAAAAGCTCTAAGTATTGACCTCCCATATGATCCCGCAATCCCTCTACCTGGGAATATACCCTGAAGAACTCAAATCACTCTATAAAAACGATACCTGCACATGTATGTTTATCGCAGCATTATTCACAATAGCAGGAACCTGGAAGCAACCATGCTGTCCATCAAAAGAGGACTGGATTAAAAAAATGTGGTACATACACACGATGGAATACTATGCAGCCATAAAAAAGAACAAAATCATGAATTTTGCAGCAACCTGGATGGAGCTAGAGTCTATAATACTGAATGATCTCTCGCAGAAGCAAAGATCTGAGTATCACATGTTCTCACTCATATAGTGGACCTTGAACATCCAACATAATAGTATAAGAAAATGACGGACAGTGGTGGGAAACTATGGGGGGAAAGGGAGATGGGATTAATGGTAGTAAATATCTGTCTGGGGATGGGGAGACAACTCTTATCAATAAGGGTGCCTGATCGAAGCATATTTGTATACCTAACCCTTAACTGTACCCCACAATATCATAATAAAAAATATTGATTAAAAAATAATAATTAAAAAAAAAGAACACGATTTTTTGGCTTGTAATCCCAGCACTTTGGGAGGCAGAAGCACTCAAGAGAGTGCTTGAGCCCGGGAGTTCAAGACCAGCCTGGGCAACATAGCAAGACCCCATCTTGATTTAAAAAAAATTTTAAAAATTAGCTGAGCCATTATGGTATGCACCTGTAGCCTCAGCTTCTTGGGAGACAGAGGCAGAAGGATTGCTTGAACCCGGGAGGTCGGGCCACTGCATTCCAGCCAGGGTGGCAGAATGAGACCTTGACTCAAAAAAGAAAAAGAAAAAGAATAGAATTTTTTAAAGCACAGAACATAGTAAAGTAGTAGCCTCCTGCAACCTCTGTGTCTCTGTCCACAAGGTACCACAGTGGAGATGTGTACATCATTGACGTTTCTCAGTCCGTAGAGCATGACCACCCACATGCCTTAGAGTTCTTGAGGAAAGACTGTGCCAATGTCAATGGTGAGTAGAAATTGGAATTTTTTAACAGCTTATTTGTGTGTGTTGGTTCTGTACTCAGTTAAGCTATTGCTGTTAAATCTTGTCACTAAATTGTTTGGAGCAGTAACACATCAACCGTGTGTTGGGAGATGGTTTATATTTTTATCTCTTTCTGTGTAAAGCAGTTGGAATAGTAATGTTTTTCCTCATAAAAGCTATCATTAACGTTTTTCCTTGTGATAGACTTCTTTTTAAAGCACGGTGTTGCTGTCATGACTGTGCGGGAGCTCTTTGAGTTTGTAACAGATCCATCCATCACACATGAGAACATGGACGCTTATCTCTCCAAGGTAAGATGGGGAGAGGACAGAAGAATAGAAAATAGCAGTACGAGGCTGGGTATGATGGCTCAGGCCTGTAATCCCAGCACTTTGGGAGGCCGAGGTGAGAGAATTGCCTGAGGCCACTAGTTCAAGACCAGCCTGGGCAACTTGGCGAGACCTCATCTCTACAATAAATAAATAAAAATTAGCTGGGCATGGTGGCACACACCTGTGGTTCCAGCTACTTGGAAGGCTGAGGTGGAAGGATCACCGGAGCCCAGCAGGTCGAGGTTGCGGTGGCTGTGAGCATGCCACTGCACTCTAGCCTGGGTGGCAGAGTGAGACTTCGACTCAACAACAACAACAACAACAAAAGGAAATAGCAGTACAGGGTCAGTGTCCCTTATCCAGAATGCTGGGGACTAGCCATGTTTCAGATTTCAGATTTTTCCTAATTTTGGAATAACTGCATTACACTTAGCTCAGTTGAGCATCCCAGGTGAAAACACGAAATCTGAAAGTTCCTGTGAGCATTTCCTTGGAGCGTCATATAGGTGCCCCAAAAGTCTCAGATTCTGGAGCACTTCAGATTTTTGGATTTAAGAAGCTAAACCAGTAGCGATATGCATTTGTGTGACATTTCTGAGGGACTCAAATTGCATAGTGTTGTGTATTCATTTTGACAGCTCCCTGAGACCTTTTCCTTCTGATTTCACAGATAAGGAACCAAAAATATATTAAAACAGACAGTGGTAAAGTCAGGTTTCTTTTTTTTTCCCCCCTCATGAACTGACTTGATAGCCAGGTTTTTTTACTTTCATTATTTGACAAGATTATATAGACTGTCAGAGTTTGTGAATGTTTAGTAAGAAATGTGGTCGTTTTTTTGGTCATTAATTCTTTTTTCTTGTTTCTCAGGGCCTTTCTTAATACAGAATATTTTTTAAATTGTGGTAAAAGACATAACATAAAATTTACTATCTTAACAATTTTTAAATGTACTGTTCAGTAGCATTAAGTACATTCATATAGTATAACCATTACTACCATCCCTTTTCAGAAATTTTTCATCACCCCAGACAAAAGCTCTACACGCATTAAACAGCCATCCATCCCTTGGCAAGCACCGTTCTGCTTTGTCTTTATGAATTAGACTAGGTCGTGCCTTTTATAAATAGAATCATATAGTATTTGTCCTTTTGTGTGTGGTTTATTTCCCTTAGCAGTATATCCTCAAGTTTCATGCGTGGTGTAGCATGTGACAGGATTTCTTTTCTTTTTAAGGCTGTATACTAGTCTAGTGTATGTATATACTACATTTTGTTTATCCATTCACCCGTGGATGGATACTTGGCCTGATTACACCTTTTGCTGTCATGAATAATGCTACTATGAACTTGGGTATATAAATGTCTTGCCAAGATCCTGCTTTCAGTTCTTTTGCATGTATATCCAGAAATGGAATTGCTCGATCAAGTGGTAATTCTATTTTTAAGTTTTCAAGGAACTACCATACTGTTTCCCACAGCAGCTGCACCATTTTACATTCCTACCAACAGTGCACAAGGGTTCCGATTTCTCCACATCCTTGCCAGCACTTAGGATTTTGAATTTTTTTGTACTCTGTACTCTCACCAACACCTCTTATTTTCAGGGTTTTTTGGGGGTAGGGAGGATAATGACATATCAGCTCACACCCATCCTAATTGTTTTGGTTTGCATTTCTCTCATGACTAATGATGTTAAGCATCTTTTTATGTATTTCTTGGTCATTTCTATATCTTTGGAGAAATGTCTGTTCAAGTCCTTTTTAAAATCAGGTTGTTTAGTTTTTTTGTTGTTAGTTGTAGTTCTTTATATTTTCTGGGTATTTATTCATTATCAAACATAATATGCAAATAGCTTTCAGTGGGTCCCCTTTTCACCCTGTTGATTGCATCCTTTGTTGCACAGAAGTTTTTAGTGTCCATGTAGGCCAGTTTATCTTTTGGAGCCTCAGAAACATAGAGTTTTCAACACATGGCACAAGTGCCTCTGTACAGGTTTTCAGGTTTATCCTTCCTCCTTTTCATGTTTCTCTTTTGCTGGGATGCCTTCCCACTTCTGCCTTTGCTTATCTTGCTCTGCCTGGCAAACTTTAAAGCTCAGTTCACAGAGCTGTCCCAAGGAGAAATTTGGGAGAAGTCATTGTTTTCATGGGTTATTTTCATATTACATAACCATAATAGAAGTAGTCACACTGTGTCACTTCTTATTATACTAAAATCTTTTTTTTTTGTTTTGTTTTGTTTTGTTTTGAGTTGGAGTCTCACTCCGTCGCCCAGACTGGAGTGCAGTGAGTGGCTGCTCCTGGCCACCGCAGCCTCGACCTGCTGGGCTCCGGCGATCCTTTCGCCTCAGCCTTCCAAGTAGCCAGAACTACAGGCGTGTGCTACCACGCCCGGCTGATTTTTTGATTTATTGTAGAGATGAAGTCTTGCTGCCCAGGCGGGTCTCGAACCCGCAGGCTCAGGCAATCCACTCACCTCAGCCTCCCAAAGGCGCCGAGCCCGGCTTTATTTTGTCTCTCTTTACTAGATGAACTCAAAGGGGTAGGAGTTTTGTTTGTATATTACCAGTATCTATTCAGTACTTGACACCTAGTAGGTAATTACATATGTTAATTGAATCCATAAATAGCACATCATTTTTATTCCTAAACCCTTTAATTTAGCACTGATTTTATCGTCTAAACTTAAAAATAAGAAATTTTACTCCCACTATTCTTTCCTTCTGTATAGAGTAGAGAACAGATGCTCAGTTTTACAAGCCAAGAGGACCCTTTAAAATTTTTGTCACCTTTTTCATTTCAGTCATTGTTTACTCAGTTAACTTTGAGACTGGGGTGCCTTAATCCCAGCAGTTTTGGGAGGCTGGGGCAAGAGGATGGTTTGAGGCCAGGAGTTTGAGACCAGCCTGGGTAATATAGTGAGACCCCTATCTCTACTACAAAAAAAAAAAATTAGTGGCATGTTCCTGTAGTCCTAGCTACTCTGGAGGCTGAGGCAGAAGGATTGCTTGAACTCAGGAGCTCAAGGTAGCAGTGAGCTATGATCATTCCACTGCATTCTAGTCTGGGCAATAGAGCGAGACCCTGTCTTCTAAAAATTTTAATGTTTTTAAAGGGAGCCTTCTTTGGTGGTTTATACCACAGCAGCATTAGAGCTGTCTACTCATGACTTACGGACAGCCAGCCTAGTTTGCAGTTGCCTTTACTGACTGCTCAAGAATTAAGGAATATTTTCTTTATACTTTGGGTCTCAGTTTTTCTTTATAAATGTTTTTGTTAGTCATTTAAAAATTGTCAAAAGTAGTATTACTTTTGAAGAAGGGGAACTAGGGATCCCTCTAGTCTAGAAAAGGAAAAGCTAACTTATCCTCTACTTCAGGGTTATGGCAGCCTTTTTGGTGAGGTCCATGCTAGAGAGCTAACCTGTATTGTTAGAACTCACTGAATCTTTTCAGAAGTGTGAAGAGGTAATGTTTAAAAGATTAATTTCTACTAAAACTGGGAAATGGATGGATCGTTTGTAGGTTGAATGTAAAGGAAACTTTTTTTTTTTAATTCTTTTCCAAGGCCATGGAAATAGCATCTCAAAGGACCAAGGAAGAAAGGTCTAGCCAAGATCATGTAGATGAAGAGGTAGGATTATTATCTGTTCACAATCTTAGGAAACACTTGTGTTTTGAGGTTTTTTAGCATGAATTTGATTTTAATAGACACGCAATGAATTTTTTAAAATGATGATAATTTTTTTTGAGAGATAATATGGTACATAATTTAACTGAGTCAGGTTGTATAATTTATATTCCATCATATCAGTCTACTCAGCAACCTGTTAGCCCATTGTCCTAGATGAATAAAAATTTTAAAGAGCCAGTTAGGGTGTTTGAATCAAGAAGGAAAAACCTATTTTTAGTTTGCTAATTTGAATATGTAAATGACTTAACTGTTGTTTCCAGAGATAGTTTTGCTTTGGTAAAAAGATTATTTTAGGAGTCAAGGTATCTTTTTGTGAAGGATGCATAGTAGGCTTTTTTCCCCCTCACTGCTGTTAGTGTGATGGATGAATGTGAGGTGTGTTTATCAGCAGCTCTTGATCTTTTTACTGTAGCAGCCAGTAGGGCATGTTCCCGTGTGCAAACATGCTCCTTTACAAGGCGAGGCTAGGCAGTGCTCGCCAACTGTAATTCCACCCCTTTCCTTCCTACTCAGAAAAGCTTTTTGGAACACAAATGAAAGACAAGTGTTATTCTAAGGATAACCTCAAATCGGCTGTAGACTTCTTCCTTCAAATACTCCATATGCAATGTTTAATGTTTCATCATTAGTAACATTGCTTTTGGCACACCACATAGCAGATGCGACACCAGTGCAGGCACGCAGCTTGGCTAAGAATCAGTGTTGGAGAAGATGATGACTGGAGATTCTTCTGTGACTGGATGGGGCTGAGGATGCTGCAAGAACATGAGAAGTATATGAAAGTTCTGACTTTACTTTTTTCTCTGTTAGGTGTTTAAGCAAGCATATATTCCTAGAACCCTGAATGAAGTAAAAAATTACGAGAGGGACATGGAGATGATGATGAAATTGAAGGAAGAGGACCTGGCTATGAATGCCCAACAAGACAATGTCAGTAGCTTGGTTGGTATATAACAAGTAGGACTGCAAAAGAAGGAGGCTGTCTGAGACCTGTCTGGGCCTTTTAAGTTTCTCTCCCCTTGGATGTTTGCCTCTGAGCTAGTGAGATGACTCGTTCCCTTTGTAGTAACATATCTTCTGTGCACATTGGATGTAAAGGGACTCCATTAGTGTTTATGAGAGGGAGTAACACATCCCAATGAGTCCCACAGACTATAATTACAAGAAAAGGAAGATTCTAATAGAAATCTAGGCTATAAATGGTTATTATACTTGGTCTGTTAGCATATATATTTTACTAACATATTTCAGGAAAAATTTGTTTCTGTTAAAGGGCCAGCTAGTAAATATTTTAGTCTTTGCAAACCAAGAAACAAAATTGAGGCTACTGCGTAGTTCTTTATATAATAAGAGAGAGAAACTTCCCCAAATTTTTATTCAGGAAATTAGAAATACTTCAGTAATAATTGAATACAACCTTTTGTAATATAAGTCTACTAAAGAGAGAAGAATGACATTATTGGGGAAAGCAGGTAACATTTCACTTAATTGGAGGTTCAAAGTTTGTATTTGCTGTTATCAAATTGATTGAAAAATTACCAGGCTGGTTGGATTTGGCCTCTAGGCCTGGTATACCTGAAGACGTGAGTAATGCCCATATTTGAAATTTCTGTGTTACTGTGAGATTAATTTTAGATACTTTTTTATAATCACAGAAGATATCATTTAGTCCACAGTCTTTATAGTGCAATATGTATATTTCACTTGTTTTATGTTAATTCTTGTTTTTTCCCTTTTGGTTTCAAGATTCTATATCAAACTGTCACAGGATTGAAGAAGGATTTGTCGGGAGTTCAGAAGGTATGAAGAGCGTGTTGCCATTTGCTTATGTGAAAACTCTTTTAAAGGATATAAAACCTAATACAAAGTATTATTAAAATTAAAGTAGGCCAGGCATGGTTACTCACACCTGTAATCTCAGCACTTGGGGAGGCTGACGCAGGAAGATGACTTGCGCCCAGGAGTTTGAGACCAGCCTGGACAACATAGCGAGACCTTGTCTCTACACAAATTAAAATATAAGCCAAATGTGCTGGGGTGTGCCTGTAATCCCATCTCCCCGGAAGGATCACTTGAGCCCAGGAGACAGAGGCTGCAGTGAGCTGTGATCGTGCCACTGCCCTTCAATCTGGGCAACAGAATTAGACTCCTGCCTCAAAAATAAATGTTAAATATGTTTAAATTAATGATATTTTATATTTTTAACCATAACTATTTTCAAAGTCTGTGGATGTTTTCAGAAATGCCCTTTTTGTGTTCTTTCTAACCATAATATTGAAATTTGAAAATGTATTTGTTACATTCTATCTCAGAATTGTTCTGTTATTGCAGGTGAGGCATTTCTCTTTTTTGTATCCAAATCTTTTTGTGGAGTAATCAGTGATAGCCATGTGCTTCTTGATAGTTTTTACAACCAGCTTACAAAAACAATGTGAACTGTGGTCTCATACCATATGTAACTTGTTGAAGAGCAATCTCATGAGCTCAGCATTCTTACCCTGCTGGATTCCTGTAGTGTTCTTTTTTCTTAAAACAATCTTGTTTTGTATTACATTTTAGAAAGGCAAGGATTAAGTAATTCTAATTAGGCAACAATAAAGGCAGTCCTTACTTTTTTAATCTTCTTAATTAAAAGATTTAAATGATGATAGTTTGCCTTTTGAAAATTTTGTCTTGTCTATGTGAAGAATTGAACTGGGGGGATTCCAGTATTTTTCATTTCTGAGTTACATATAAGAGGTATTATAGGGAAGTTGCACTTTGAATTCCAAAGCACAAAGATTTTGTTGAAACTAGCTAGAAAATCCTTTTGTATAAAAAGATCTGTTTTTTTCTTATAAAAGAAAACCTCACTCTTTTAAAAACTACTCCCTGCCGCTTGAAAAAGCTATGCTAAATTTTAGGGGGAAAAAATCAACATTTCTCTTGTTTGAATATAGTTTTCCCTCTTGATTGGATTAGCTTATGGCTAGAATATGGTTCATAGGAAAACAGCAGCAAAGTTACCCAAATAGGTCTTTATTTTTTACTTCTCTATATATTTTGCATCCTTCCAAATACCAAGTTAATCCTCCTGCTTAACTGAAAGAAGCAAATGAGATGTTAATTGATCTAAGTCACCCAGTACTAGACCTAGTTTCTTCATTTGGGTATGTTGAGCCTTACTGAAATGACTACTTTCAAGCTTCCTCTCTGATGTTGATTCTGTTATTTTGATGTTTCAGTACAGGATCTTATTTATTCATTTATTTTTGAAACAAAGTCTCACTCTGTCATCCAGGCTGCAGTTTAATACAATAATCATAGCTCACTACAGCCTCAAACTCCTGAACTCAAGCAATCCTCCCACCTCAGCCTCCCAAGTAGCTAGAACTATAGGCATGCCCCAACCTGTGCAGCTAAATTTTTTTTTTTTTTTTTTGAGTAGGCATCTCACTCTGTCACCCAGGCTGGAGTGCAGTGGCATGCTCCCGGCCCCCACAGCCTCAACCTACTGGGCTCAGGTGATCCTTCTGCCTCAGCCTTCCAAGTAGCTGAAACCACAGGCATACACCACCACACCTGGCTAATTTTTAAATTTATTGTAGAGACAAGGTCTCACCAAATTGCCCAGGCTGGTCTCAAACCCCTGGACTCAGGTAATCCTCTCACTTCACTTCCCAAAGTACTGGAATTGCAGGTGTGAGCCATCGCAAAAAAATTAAATTAAAATTTTAAATTTGTTATAGAGATGACATCTTGCTATGTTGTCCAGGCTGATCTTGAACCAGCCTGAAGCAGTCCTCCCTCTTCAGCTTCCCAAAGGGTTGGGATAGCTATCATGAGCTATTGCACCTGGCCAGGATGTTTTTTCCAAAGTATATCTGTAAGGCTGAAATCGGAATTCTGGCATTAACACATTTAATAATAATAGATTACCAGTTGGTTTAGAGTAACATTGTACTGTAATAATTTCAAGGTCCCTGCACTCCTAGAAAGTCAAGTTAAAGAAAAGACTTGTTCTGATTCAGAAGATGCTGGAAACTCTGAGTGTTCTGACACAGACTCTGAAGAACAGGGAGACCATGCTTGTCCCAAGAAACACACATCTGACCCTGACGTTGATAAAAAGGTTAGCCAAGAACTTAATTGTGGTAGCATGGCCACTCTTATTTTTCTTTGCTTAAGGGTCTAGCTAGGTTATGATGGCTGAAAACATTATTAAGTGTCTCTCATTATAGTTTCAATGCCTAAGTGTAAACTTTGTGGGGGCAACATTATCTAGAGACTGAACTGCTATTAGCTCTGGGCACTGCTCTATAGAGAAGATGTATTTAAATCCAGGATACTGCTTTAAAATGATTATCAGCCGGGCCCAGTGGCTCAGCCTGTAATCCCATGCCTTTGTGAGTGGATTTCCTGAGCCCGCGGGTTCGAGACCCGCCTGGGCAGCGAGACCTCATCTCCACAATAAATCAAAAAATCAGCCGGGCGTGGTAGCGCATGCCTGTAATTCCGGCTACTTGGAATGCTGAGGCGGAAGGATCGCCGGAGCCCAGCAGGTCGAGGCTGCGGTGGCCAGGAGCGGCCACTGCACTCCAGTCTGGGCGACAGAGTGAGTCTCCAACACACACACAAAAAAAATGATTATTGTTCACATGAAGTACATATGATATTAGAATTGGCTCATGGTAAAATACTGAAGAACCTTTTCAGGGGATTTATAGCCCAGCCTGATGTTTCTAGAATCTAAAAGACTATGCAACAGTCCTACCTTATCCTGGTTTCACTTTCTGCAGCTTCAGTTACCTGAGGTCAACTGTGGTCTAAAAATACTGAATGGAAGTTTTTTTTTTAAAGTTGTGGAGTACAGTTCAGGGTTAGATACACAAATGTTCATTATGCAGGCACCTTTGTAGATGAGGTGTGCCCCTCTTCACCAGGCTGAACGGAAATTTTTAAAAAGAAACAATTCATGAGTTTTACATCGCATAACATATTGAGTAATATGTTGAGTCTCTTGCTATCCTGCACTGTCCCATGCAGGACGTGAATCATCCCTTTGCCCAGCATCTCTGCTCTGTAGAGACCACCTGCCCTGTAGCCATTTAGTGGCCATCTTGGTTATCAGATAGACTATTGTGGTATTGTGGTATTTATGCTCAAGTAACTCTTATTTTACTTAATAATAGCCTTCAGTATAAGAGAGTGATGCTGGCAATTCGGATATGCCAAAGAAAAGCCATAAAATAACTTCCTTGAAGTGAAAAGGCAACTGATTTGACTTAATAAAGACATTTATGCTGGGGTTGCTGAGATCTATAGTAAGAACAAATCTATCCATGAAATTGTGAAGAAGGAAAAAGAAATTTGTGCTAGTTTTGCTGTTGTACCTCAGACTTCAAAAGTTAGGGTCACAGTGTATGATGCATGCTTAGTTAAGATGAAAAAGTATTAAAGTTTGTGGGTAGAAGATATGAATAGAAACATGTTCCGCATGTGCAACAACATGTTACACCGAAAGCATTGAGCCTATATGAAAACTTCAGCAAGGGATCCTCTGAAACAGCAAGCCATTTACTGTGAGTAAGGGATGGTTACACAGATTCAGGAGTAGGTTTGGACTGAAAAGTCTAAAACTCATGAATAGGCTGCATCTGCTGATGAAGAAGTTGCTATCACATGAGTATAGAACAATAAGGTGTTTGAGAAAGACCCTACATCCACATAATTGTTACTATAGTATGTTACAGTTATTGTTAATCTCTTACTGTGCCTAATTTAAAAATTAAACTTGTATGTATGTTTAGAAAAAACTGTCTGTATAGGGTTTGGTAGCATGTGCAGTTTCAGGCGTCTATTGGGGGTCTTAGAAATGTAACCTTCCGCTGGGTTTGGTGGCTCAGCCTGTAATCCCGCGCTTTGGAAGGCTGAGGTGAGTGGATTGCCTGAGCCCGTGGGTTTGAGACCCGCCTGGGCAACTTGGCGAGACCTCATCTCTACAATAAATCCAAAAATTAGCCGGGCGTGGTAGCGCATGCCTGTAGTTCCAGCTACTCGGAAGGCTGAGGTGGAAGGATCGCCGGAGCCCAGCGGGTCGAGGCTGCGGTGGCCGGGAGTGGCCACTGCACTCCAGTCTGGGCGACGGAGTGAGACTCCAACTCAAAAAAGAAAAAGAAACAAGAAATGTAACCTCCACAAATAAGGGGAACTATTTCTGTTTTCTTTTTCTGAGTTGGAGTCTCACTCCATCTCCCAGGCTGGAGTGCAGTAACATGCTCATGGCCACCCCAGCATCAACCTGATGGGCTCAGGTGATCTTTCTGCCTCAGCCTTCAAAGTAGCCGGAACTAGAGGCACACACTACCACAGCTGGCTAAGTTTTTTGTTTTTTTGTTTTTTTTTATTGTAGAGGTGAGGTCTCGCCAAGTTGCCCAGGCTGTTCTCAAACCCATGGGCTCAGGCAGTCAAGGAGGACTCTTTCTTTAAGCCCTGGTTGTAGACATAAGAGACACTGCTGACTGAATGGTACTTGAGGGCTGTGTAGCTATTCTTCCTCCTTAATCTTTTAACCCTTATAAAATTTGGGTCCTAAGACTTCTGAGAGACATACTCAACTGCTAGTACATTTTCTAAGTCTTCTAGAAACAAATAATTTTTCTCTCTCCTACCTTTATTTTTGTTAGCATTATAGAACTTGTAAAGCAAAGTAGTTGCAAACATTTAGTAATATCCTGAGATACTTCTATTTTGCTTTCTTCAAATTTCTATTAAGAAAACTCAAAGACAATTTTTATTCCTAATTCTACCACCAGCTTGTAATCACTTTTTTATTTAATGTTACACTCACTTTTATTCTTTTGCACATACTGTTTATTTAGTTGTAATAATCATACAAATACTCTAAATGAATGAAATTCCTGTCTTGTTTGTTTGTTTGCTTGTTTTTACAGGAAAGAAAAAAGATGGTCAAGGAAGCCCAGAGAGAGAAAAGAAAAAACAAAATTCCTAAACATGTGAAAAAAAGAAAGGAGAAGACAGCCAAGGCAAAAAAAGGCAAATAGCTTGAGAACTATTAGGTACAATCATTTTCCATCAATTACTTTTCTTACCTGAACTCTGAGCTGCATCTGGAAGATGGTTTATTGATTTTCACTGAATTGTTATGATGGCACTGTCTGTGGAGACTGATTCAAGTGTTTTCATATAATTATGTAAAAAACTCTAAGCTAGAATCTAGATCCAGTCGTGGATTCTGTCTAGTATTGACAATATTTATTTAAACCGCTATTTTAATGAGGAACTTTGTACATTTTACTTGTATATTTTTTTTCCTGCAAATTTGTTTTTGGCAGTATCATAACTAAATGTAATGAACATTTATAACCTTTGTGTGAATTTAAAGGCACTTTGGACAAACTTGGGAAAATTGGTTTTGCTTCCTTCGTACACGCCAAAGACCCACTTGCAATCATCTGATTATAAGACCATAGTTTATATAAAAAGGCATTTACTTACAAGAGAATTCACTTGACTGTTGAGATCATTATTCACTGCAACTCTGCTCTAGTGTGTATTGATGATCATTGTCATGCATTTATACTTCATCTGCAGTGTTCTTATTCTTGTTCTCTTAGTTCATAAGGTATTTTACATTCAACCATTTGGCATGTTCATTTATGCATCAAATATTTAAGTATCTTAGGTTCTGGGGATACAACAGAAACCAAAACAGACAAAATTACTACCTTTAGATAGTTTACATTTTAACAGGAAGATCAGACATTAGGCGAAATAAGTAAAAATCATTGTATCAGCAGGTAAGAAATTCTATGTAGAGAAATAATGCCGAGATAAGAGAGTACCTGTGGAGGTGGGGCTTTGCAGTTTATAATAGGGTTTCTGGAAGGGCCACACTGGATGATATTTGAGCAAATAGTTGAAGAAGGTGAGTCATGTACATATCAGGAGGAAGAGCATTCTAAAAGCAGACAGCAAGGGCAGAGGCCCTGAGGCAGAACTGTGCCTCACGTACTCCAGAGCATCACAATCCAGGGAGAAAGTCGTAGAGACCAGATAGTGTAAGGCTGTGGGAGGGACATGAGCACAGCTCACCACCGCCTCAACTCCTGAGCTTAGGTGATCCTCCCTCCTCAGCCTCCCAAGTAGCTGGGACTACAGGCATGCATGCCACCATGCTCTGCTAATTTTTTTATTTAAGAAAAAGGTTTTTTAAATGAGTTAAAATATATTGAGGACCTAACATGAGTTGTCACATAATAAGTAGTACTATATTATATAAGCATCTGTCTATTTGTTATTTTACTTACTATATTTAAGTAACTTGTTTTGGCATCAAGTTGAATCATGTGGGCTAAAAAGATAGGTCTTAGCCAGGCATTGTGGCTCACGCCTGTAATCTCAGCACTTTGGGAGGCAGAGGTGAGAGGATTGCCTGAGCCCACAGGTTCGAGACCAGCCTGGGCAACATGGTGAGACCTTGTCTCTATAATAAATCAAAAAATTATCTGGATGTGGTGGTGCCTGAGGTTCATAAAAAGTAGCTGTAGTTCCAGCTACTTGGAAGGCTGAAGCAGAAAGATTGCCTGAGCCAGTAGGTTGAGGCTGCAATGACCATGAGTGTGCCACTGCACTGCAACCTGGGTGACAGAATAAGACTCTGACTCAAAAAAGAAAAAAAAAGGTCTAGGCAAAATTGTCATGCCTGCCACTACTGGCCTAGCCTAGTGTCTTGAAATGCCCTTTCTATTCTGAAGTTCAGATTCTACTAGCGAATTTGTGTATTGAACAAATGCTGATAGAATTTTTGGTTTTGCTAGATCTGATCCTTGTTTTAAAATATGTCACCTTCTCCATGAGAACTAACCTAACCTGATCCTTGTTTTAAAATATGTCACCTTCTCCATGAGAAGCAACCAAACCGCTTTATTTAGAATTGCCGGCTGCCCCCTTCCCGAAGGCCCCCCACGCCTTGCTACCCTTACTCTACATTATTCTGCTATAGCGCTTCTAACAAACATACAGACTTTACTTGCATAAATTTTGCGTTTTCCTCACTTTCTAGCCGCTGAGTAGAATATAAACTCCATAAGAGCAGGGATTTGTGTCTTGGTTCCATTTTGTATCCCAGCACCTAGAATGGTGCCTTAAGCATAGTCTATGCTCGACAAATATTTAAATGAATAATACATTGTTTTGCAAACAAAAACAAGGCTATGAGGTCCATTGGACACATCCCTCAGGTTCATAAAAATAAAAACGAGGAGTTTATGTGGGTTGATTTGTGCCTTCTGATCGTATGCCCCTGTGACCAATGGCGCATGCTTTCAGATGGTGGAGAGGGTCAGGTCTGGCACAGCCTGTTGTGTCATTGGACCTTGGCATGGACCGCACTCAAAACAATGGAACTGGTGCGTTTTAACCTAGACTAAGATAACAGAGCAATGTTGCTATTTTGATCTTGACCATGTGAAACCATTTGACAATCGTCCAAAGTACTGGACCCCAAAAGTAGACTGACTAATGAACTACCCAATCCCAAGTGATTTTCTCACTGTCTGTGAGAAAATGGGAGACTTCCTGAAACCAAGGCATGTTGCCATCTCTTCCCAAATGTTACTGACTGAAAAATCTAAATACACTGATTTCAAGAGAGGGTCCTGAGTTTAAGTAAGATCTCTGCTTGAGAAGCTGACAAACTCCCAGTGACACACCATCATGATCCTTCCTTCAACAGGGCATAAAATTGTACCCCAGCCCCAGGGGCTTGGTTTGATTGTTAGTGGGAATTTACTTCTACCCAAACTAGTTTACCCTTAAATTATAACTAATGCTGACAGCAATCCTGGGAGGCTGTCTCCTGCTACCTCTGCATGTAAACCTTGTCAAGGCTTGCTCAAGGCGGATGGGTCGCTCACTTTAACCCAAGATCCCTCTCCGGCTGTCGCTGGTAACCCAGTGTGGAACTAGGTAAGTCACTTTCCTTCTGGGGGGAGTTCCTCATCTGTAAGTTCAAGGAGTTGGACACTCTAATTTGGTCAAAATGATCATGTCACTTCTCTAAAATTATGTTATTCAAGCCAGGTGCAGTGTTGTGCATCTGTAGTCCTGGTTACTTGGGAAGCTGAGGTGGGAGGATCACTTAAGCCCAAGTTTGATTCCAGCCTGGGCAACATAGCAAAACCCTGTCTCTCAAACATTTTTTTGTTTAGTTATGTTATTTTGGAAATGTATCAGATCAATGATTAAGAACAAGATCCTTTAAACATCAAGGGGTCAGGATGGAATTACATCTATTAAAAGGACTTGTTGCCAGGAGTGGTGGCTCACGCCTATAATCCCAGCACTTTGGGAGGTGGAGGCAAGAGGATTGCCTGAGCCCTGGGGTTTGAGATCAGCCTGGGCAACTTGGCAAGACATCATCTCTACAATAAATACGTAAATAAATTAACTGGGTGTTGTGGTGTGCACCTGTAGTTCCAGCTACTTGGACACTGAAGTGGAAGGATCGCCTAAGCCCAGCAGATCAAGGCTGCGGTGGCGGTGACCATGCCACTGCACTCCAGCCTGGACGATAGAGTGAGACTCCAACTAAAAAAAAAAGGGAGGGGGCTTTTTAATTAAAAATAAATGGGTGTAAAGTGCCAGTTACCTTCCAAGTTAGGTTTGCTTTTTCCATGAATCATAATCTCTTTTATTTTTTTTTGAGTTGGAGTCTCACTCCATCACCCACTGTGCACACTCACGGCCACCCCAGTGTCAACCTGCTGGGCTCTGGTGATCATTCCATCTCAGCCTTACAAGTAGTAGGAACAATAGGCACGCGCTACAATACCCGGCTAATTTTTTGATTTATTGTAGAGACGGGATCTCACTATGTTGCCCAGGCGGGTCTCAAACCTACAGGCTCGGGCAATCCTCTCACCTCAGCCCCCCCCAAAGTGCTGGGATTACAGGCTTGAACCACCACACCTGACCTGAATTATGATTATCTTAAGGCAACTTTTCTCTTACCATGTTTAAATTTTGTGAGAACTCTGCTCATTGTCCTTGCAATAATTTTCGCTCCTCTAGAGGGAGGCGTGATCTTGCGTTCTGATTTCAACGTGCGCTTTGAGCAGGACTGATGGGCTGCTGAGTGTCATAACTGTAGAATGCACGGGGCACACAGTCCCCCAAAGAAGGGTTAAGTTGACTGACCCTGATGATAGTGGGCACATGTTTGGTGGGTGATTTTTAGATTAATCCTATTTGAAGAACACCTGAGGAACTACTCAATATTTTTCAGAAGTATTGGTTATTACTTGAATTTGGTTCCTAAGAGGTGCATTCCATAAAAAATGAAAGATAGGGGCTACCAGATGTTTTCCTTATACTTGGGAACTGTTGACTGTATTAGGAAGCATACCTTAAGGTGTAACATTGCATTGAGACTGCTACAGTACATATGAGATACCCATTTCATTTACAGTTTTGTTAATATTTACGCAGGTGTTAGTAGGTGACCATGTGCTGTAATTGAAAAAGTCCCAGATTTGTGTTAAAACTTGAATTCGGCCAGGCATGGTGATTCATGCCTGTAATCCTAGCACTTTGAGAGGCTGAGGCAAGAGGATCACTTGAGTCCAAGGGTTCGAGACCATCCTGGGCAACATAGTGAGACCTCGTCTCTATGACATTTGGAAGGAGGGAGGGAGGGAAGGAAGGAAGGAAAGAAGGAAGGAAGGAAGGAAAGAAAAAATCTGCCTGAAATCCCAGTACTTTGGGAAGCCAAGGCAAGAGGATTGTCTGAGCCCAGAGGTTCAAGTCAAGACCAGCCTGGGCAACTTGGTGTGAGACATCTCTACAATAAATGAAGACATTAGCTGGGTGTGGTGGCCCACACCTGTAGTTCCAGCTGCTTGGAAGGCTGAGGAGGCAGGACCACCTGAGACCAGCAGGTCAAAGCTGCTGTGACCTTGATGTGGCCTTGAGCGTGCTCCTGCACTTCAGCCTGGGCCACAGAGTGTGAGAATCCGATTCAAAAAACAACCAACCAGCCAAAAACACAGCACTCCAGAGCAAAGTGATCTTCAGTCCCAAACAGCCGTTAGAGGAGGAGGGAGGGTTGCGTGGAAATTACCTTCACCCGCCATCCTCTGCTGCTGGGAATATGTCTCAGGAGCAGACCAGGGCTTTCATTTCCACTGGAGATCAATTCACACTAAGTTGCAAATGGCTCGGAACTCTAGCGGGGTGGAGGGCAGTGGAAAGAGTGTGTTGGGAGTGAGATGAGAGGCCAAGAAAGGAGAGGGTGGAGCCATCCAGAAACCAAATTCACTGACTTCACAATTTACCTGAGCCAGCCCCGCCCTGGCCTGCCGCGGCCACCATGGAGGAGCTGGCTCGCTTTCAGAACCTCCTCCTCTCTTTAGGAAGCCATGCCCTGTTTGGGACAGGAAACCTGAGTGTGCTGCTTCTGGGGCTGGGACCATCTGCGGCCCGCACCTGGCAGCCCGAGCTGGCCTTCCCTGTCAGAAGGTGCGGGCTCACCCGGAGAACAGGACAGCGGGGTGGGGGCCGGGACACCAGCAAAGGCCGCAATCCCAGTCCACCCAGGGACCCGAGTTCCTCAGGCACATGAGCCAAGTGGTAA